TCCTTGCAATTTAGTGGTAAAAAACACAGTGAATATACCTTTTCACTTTTTGAAGTACACATAACACTCGGATTTAAATCCGAGGTTTTCGCATTTATTTATTTGCTTAGTGTGCACAAAAAGCTTCGAACTTTTTTTTAAGGAAATTAGCCTAATTCAATTTTGAAGACTATGTTTTGAGATTGATCATGAAAATTTTTTAATAACACGATACATTATTTTAGTCTTCATAAAACATTAATGAAACTTCAAATTGATCAAATTGAATCATTTGATACATGGCTTTCTCAAGCTGAACAACGTATAACATCACAATTAGAAATTATGGAACAAAATTTACCCGGTGTTGATCGTCAATATCGTCAATTAGCTCAATTACAAGATGAACTTGTTGCACAACAACAAATGACTGAATCATTACAAAATATGGTTATTGTTATTGATGATTCAGCAACAAATGGTACAAATAGTTTACCACCAAAATATACATCAATGGATGTTGAAGCTAAATTATTAAATTTAAGTGAACGTTGGGCAAAAATATGTACGTTTGTACAAAATCGTTGGATACAATTACAAGAAGTTAAAATTGAATTTGAACAAATTGAATTACATCGAGACAAAGTTAATCGATGGTTAACACGTAAAGAAGATGAAGTTACTAGAATGTTAGCAGAAACAAATATGAATGATGCCGATGTACTTATGCAACAAGCTCATTCAATTAAGGTAATATTAACTTTCAACAAAAATAAATATATATTGTTATAACAATAAATTAGAAGATCTAATAAAAACAAAACAAAAATTAGACTTTATTTATCTGAAAAGAAAATCATAACAAATCTTTTTCTTCATTCTTGAAATTCATATTAGGGTTAATATGTCTTTTAAGTCAAATTATTACTGTTTTACTAAATTTTCGACTGGAATGGCAAGATAATAAATTTTCAATTAAACTCGATATTTTTTTCTTGTGACATGCCGACAGATGAACATTCGTTTCGGCTTAAACTTCCATGATATTCTATAGATCATTAGATCTATTCATAGATTGAATTTGAGTAAAATAGTCATAATTCAGCTTCAGACACTCACGAGTACGAACCGTTTTACGATTTTTTATTATCGTATTGAGACCGTCTTATAGGCTTAATAGAAATTCAAACAGAAGATTACAACTGGGGCTGTTATTTTGTCAGTATTCAATACCCACATTTAGTCAGTGACATCAAAACTGCACATCCTTAATCTAACGAGGAAACATTCCCAGGTGTTGGAGCGATTTTTAGTCGAGACTTTGCGCATCTTGTAGGCCTTGATGAATTATGTCTACCGTAAAAAAAGTTCGTGTCCCTAGCTTGTTCCTAGTGAGATATCGAGGTTTTAGTGAATTTTTC